GTGAAGGGTCGACCTACACTTCACCTACCAGTACGAGGCTGCCACTTGAGAACATTTTTTTATCATGGGTTGTCGATTCTTCGAGCTATATGGCCGGCCCATTGCCACTTTAGCTTTCTAATCCATTGGACTATGTTGGTCTCTCTGGTTCTATATATTTAGTTATAGGATATAATAGTGGTATAAGTTTTAGTGCAATTTATAAGTATATTAAATGTTCTTTTATTGAAAATACAATCATTATCAATTTTGAATACATAATAATGAAACAACCACAGCAAATCATTTACTAAAATTATCCACTCGTAAATTTAATAATGGTTATTTTAGAGATGGTTAAAAAACATGACATTATATTAAAGTAATAGTTTTAAATTAAATAAATAATCAAAATTTACTATATATATGTAATGTATTATTTAATATTTGTTGAAAGCCCTTGGTAATCACTAAATATCGCCGGCGACGTAGGAAGGGGAAAAGATGCAAAGCCATAAGGACACTAGTGTGCAGCGACGAAGTTTAATTTAGCTTGCATGTATGATTTATCCAATTAATAACAATCATCTAGGCTATTAAAACGTCGCCAAGTAGTGAACATCAAAAGAGTGCAATTTCTATATGTAGTACTATTATTTATTCTGTGCATTTGCCTGTTATGACACCCTCTGGATGATATGGGGTAGTGGACATTTTGACACTGCCACTATACGGGTACAGTGGATTTCATTTATTACGACCTTGGTTGTAGCGACCATTTACCTATAGTGACGTTAAATCTAAGTCCCTTGAATTTAAAGCATATTTTAGTACAAAATTCATGTGGCTATAGCGACTTTGGATGTAATGCCGAGTTCGGATGTAGCGACTGTTTTTAATGATTCATTTGTAATAAATACCTAGAAATCCCATGCAGATATTGCAACCGGAGAGGGCCACCAAAGACATAAAGATTTCTTTCTTTCACAAACATTTTATATCTTTTGTTTACATCCATACAGATGGTCAGGAAGTGTGGAGACCTTTACCTTTTGTTTATAGATATCAGCTAGTAGGTAGGGAACCATGTACATTTCAGAATTAAATTGTGATATTCTGAGTAGCAACTGTAATGTATTAAATTTGTTACCTTTGCCTGTAACGACTTCCGGATATAGCGACGAAAATAGGGTAGTCCCTTCATCGTCGTTATACCCGAAATCCACTGTATTTGTATATATGTACAATAATTTTAAAATAGTTTTGAGCAATAATTAAATATCAGTAGATTTATTGAGATTCAAAAAAGTTAAAAGTACTGATGCTAAAATTATTAGCAATTTTTTCTGATGGTGGAACCATTCATTGATATAATTTCAATGGAAAAATATAAATGGCCCTTTTTCACTTATGACAGCTGTATAATAATCTGAAGTGTGTAGTCATGTCAATTTTAACTGAGAAAACAAGGTCGTTTTTTTTTAGTTCTTCAGAATTTATGTATTTCAAATTCAGGATATTTAAATAACCTGAATTTGAAATTAATCCACTCTGAAAATTCCTAAGAGTGAGTTTAAATAACCTGAATTTGAAATTAATCCACTCTGAAAATTCCTAAGAGTGAGTTAACTCACTCTTAGGGATTTTCAGAGTGGATTATTTTGTAACAATATTTTTGGAGGGATGTAAGACACTAGCAAACCATTTAATAAAACTTATCAGATTCAACATAAAATCGGTGTTGTATAAATGTTAACAACTCCAAATTAAATATTCTGAGAATGTAGAATTTCCTTTAGAGAATAGACCATTTACCTAACTACATTATGAAAACTAATAAATTTCCTGGAATATTATGGAGATTATTTATACAATTAAGGGAGACAAACTGGCCCGGAGGCAAAGATGAGGTCTACAATGGAGCAAGTTAGTCCAGAAGTCCATGTATCATTTCTGACGATGCACTGATAGATGGACTTTGGTTATTTTAATTTGCAATATTCATATTATTCAAACATTTATTATTTCATGTAACTTTCTTTATCTATAAATATTTATGTTTGATTTAACAAAAATTATATATTTAAACAAGGTACAGGAGACTATTTATAAAGGATGTATTTGTGAATTCCAAGGCTAAAAGCACCATGGTTTTCATCAATTTTAGCATGTAGGACTTCTCAATTTTAATTTGTAAATATGAATTTAATTTTCCAGTTCTAATTTCTTCTCAAAATTTTTTACAACTTTAGATAAACATAGCATTCAAATAAAGTTTTAGTAACATTGTTGAATAATAATAGTAAATACTTATAGATATTAATAATAGTAATTACTTAGCTTGTCATTGATAACTTTTTAGAAAATGTTTAAATATAGATAACAACACATATCTATTTTAAGACATGACAATTCACACCTAGCTGTCTTTATTGATGATGGGATGATTTTTTGATTATAACATGCAATCTCAATACATTCCCATTATTTACCAATAGCAAAATTTAGGGTTAATAAATAATCATTAATTGAATTGATTCATTTTCTCTTCTTCAAATTCTATTCCCTGCAAAAGTATAAAAGTTCTAAAAAAATGTCTTACATTTGTTATTAGTGGGTACAATATCATTAGAGAGTATAAAAACACTTGTCCCTTTATTCACATTACACTTAACCATATATTATGTACCTTGAATTTATTAACCCTTTCGCTGTCCCGTGCACTACATATAGGTCATTGCTATTGTCTTACTATTGTGTTTGAAAATCGGACAGTGAAAGTGTTAACAACATAAACATTAATAGAAGCTAAGAATTAATTAATATTCTCATAAAGTTACTCTTGTGTATAATATTATTTAGTCATAAATTCTATTAATATTATTTGAAAAATAAGTGGTTTAAAAGTTCTCTTCGTTCAAATATAGTGTATGAAAATTTTATTAAATTAATGTTAGGTACCTACCTACTTAAAATAAATTACCAATATATTTATGACTGTTTATTAAATAACAGTACTATTCCATTTGTCTATTATGAAATAGTTTGAATAAGAGTTTATGATAATAAATTTAATTATCATAATTAACTATTACTTACTTATGATTTATTTATTTATTTGAGTGAATAGCAAATCACTTATTTAATTAGCTGTTATGTGGCAGAATAAAAGGATCTATTGCCCATATTATTCCATAAGTGTCAGAAGAGGCAACAAGAATCGGAATAGGAAATAGGCAGCAGAATCTTCTTGATAACAACTCAAAATAATAAAAAACTGGGGTTGCCAACTGGCTTGCAAAGAGTGGCTAATACCTCCCGTATGAGAAAATTTATGGAACTAGGCTTTAATAGTAATAAAATTGTATTCTACTTTTTATTTGTCAACAAAAATAATATGAAACATTTCTTAGTAAATAGCTAAAACAGCTGCATTTAATTATTTTTAAATTTATTAAATATATGGGAAAATGTGTCTAGATATTATTAGTGACTAACAGCCTTTTAATGTCAATTTAATATGTGTTCTTTAAAGCAATTGTTTGTTTTTAAACCATTATAGGTACATTAAAGTAAAATTTTATATGTGGTGGAGCCATGCTGCAGCTATATTAGTAGTATAGTTTATCACAAATGGGTCGGCTCGACCGGATAAGGACCACACTCTCACAAAATACCAGCATAAAATAGCAGCTCAAAACTACTGTGTTTCGTATGGTGAGTGTAGAGAACTGGAGACCCCTTTTACTGGAAACGAGGCATTCCATCTTAGTCCTCACGGGTGACAACGCATCTGCATTTTGATTCGCAAACGAGGATAGATGAAGATGTCTATGGGCTACAGCAACCACTTAACATCAGGTGGACTGTGTGCTCGTTTGTCAGCCTATCCTATAATAAAAATAAAAAAAGTGCTCCTAATGAAACACTGTTTGATACTATTATAAATATTAATTAGCATATTTGATTAATAATCCAATATGTGTGTATGTTGAATGTATTGCTATGTACAGTGTACAGCCAACTTCAAAAATTAAAAAGGAATTTTTTTCAAGGTGGGCTAAAAATGGTAGGTGGGGTTTAACTTAAAATAATTAGAAATGACATATAGGACTAAGATAAGTAATACAACTAAGATATGTAGGTATAATTGTTAATGTTTATTATATATTCAAATATATCTAATATCTATTTATAATACTTTAAAATTATTGTGTGATAATTATAATAACTATCAATAAAGAATGCTGTAAAAATATCAAATTTTGAATTGAATTTATTTAAACAAACTTCTCAATTACATAATTGTTTTTAAGCAAAAGTAAGAAATAGGGAAATCAAGTATCATATTAAAATCAGTAGGGTACCTACTTAAATGTTGATTGCTTAATATCGAAGATATTTGTCACAGTTGCCATATTTCACAAAATGCGTTCGCAACCGCAGTTTTTTTTTAATTACTATTATTGAGTTGTGTAAAGTGCTGTCGCCTGTCGCCCATGTCTTGTTTTAGTTAGCCTCTGTCGCCTCTACGACACCCACGACATATTAAGGGGTATATAGTAGATTTTCTTAAGGTGCCACTACACGCCAAATATTATCATGGTGAATATAACCTACCATTAACATATTCTAAATTAAAATTGCGATTGCATTAATAATCAGTAAGTTATTTATCATTTGGAAACTATTTTCAAATTAAAACTAATACAGTTTTAGTGATTGAAAAACCTGCTGGATTTTGAAAATTAAACAAAAAACGTTTTAAGAAGTTTGTATGGTATCTGGGGAGTGGGTACCTAGCAAGGTTACTGAAATATTACAGATAATGAAAAGATTTGTCGATCTTCCCTACTAAGCCTCATGGGTGGGCTATTTAGAGTAGCATAGTAATAATATTTATAAACATAAGTAATAAACGATCATAATCCAATATAGTGAATGGTAAATATAAATTAGAAAATTTAGTCTCCTTTAATCTTAAATAACGCGAATACCATGCAATGAAATGAAAATGTTACCGTTTAAAGTGCTCTCTTATTCGATCTTCTCGTATGTTATCGGGTAAATTTCCAACCCACAGGTGCCGAGTCTCTCTAACCATCTTGCCTCGAACTCCACATTAGGAATCATTACCCGTTCGCGTCACTACGTGGCAAAAATCAATTTTGCACACCACGGTGCTGTACACATTTTGATTTAATCACTTGAAAAATATAGCATTAACATAATGCCGATCACACAAGTTGCACTTAAAAAAAAACAGCACTATGTTTCACTTCACTACATTTGAAAAATTCCTCACAAAACACACTCACTATAAACACACTACGTAATAGACGCGAGCGTACTCTTCGCAGCTCTCGAATTGACAGTGAAGCCAGCTTCGACGCGAGTTTGCCGATAAGCTCCGCCTTCTGACCGCTGCCGCGCAAAGTGGAGTAGGGTATCCAGTGAATAAAAAGAAAAAATTCCTATACTTTATATACTTACATTAAAAATAATTTTAATATTAATATTTTTAATATAAAATTAAGAAGTCAGTGGACTACTTGCAATCTTAACTTTTACATTACTTATTTTTTTATAAAACCTTATGATTCTACTTACTTTCTGATAATATTTAATACACTTTAAGAAAAGTTTCTTATTATGGGGCAAAATTAAAATGATAATTTAATTTTAGTAAAATTAATCTTGAATGCGCAATAATCTGACAATAATTATTTTAGTGAATGTAAACCAACTACGGTCCGCTGGCCAGTTTACCCTAAAAACTTCTATCTCTTTCTTTAGCTTACATCGTTTTCTCATTCTAACTCACGATGCGGAGTATTTGTGTGGCCTTTGAAATAAATACTGCAAGTAATTTGGGTAATCATAAACAAAACAGCTTGATTATATTTTATAACACAATTTTTTAAATTAAAAATACTTGTATTATAAAATGTATGGTTCGGTAAATGATAATAAGATTGTTTTAATATTTGCGCAAAATTTATATTTATAATAGGAGCAAAAAGGGGTGTAACATTATTAAATATATAATTAATAAATATCAAGATAGGTACGGCGCATTTTAAAAACTGTAAACAAGGATCATACGTGGTAGAGCCATGCTGCAGCTAAATTATGGTTGTAGCACGAATGGGTCGGCTCGACCTGGGAAGGACCACGCTCTCACAGAATACCAGCGTAAAATAGTAGCTTAACGCTGCTGTGTTTCGTATGGTGAGTGTAGAGAACCGGAGACCCTTTTTACTGGAAACGAGGCATTCCATCTTAGTCCTCATGGGTGACAACGCATCTGCATTTTCAGATGTAGATGTCTATGGGCCACAGTAACCGCTTACCATCAGGTGGACTGTGTGCTCGTTTATCACCCTTATCCTATAAAAAAAGGACTTACATAATACATATTACTGCGTAACTGCAAAGCGATTTATTTATTTATTCAGCCAAACTTATCACTAACATTACAGGATCTAATGAGATAATGCGCTAGTGAAAAGAGTAAACATTTTAATTATTGTAACATATTATAAATAATGCAGCCCTTGTGAATTCACTCACAGAACATTCGAAAATGTCAACTTCCTCATGGATAAGATTAAGCAGTCTGGTGGCGCGATTTCACTGTATCACAAGCGTTATATCATTAATATTATTAAAACTTTTTGAAGAAGTAGTAATTTATCGCCCAAATTACCATCATGGTTGTTCAGAGCTTACGTGACATGTTTACCATCACTTAACATCAACCGCGATCTTGGGCAAGCGAAGATTGATAAAAATATTTCAATGATTCGATATCTTCTTTTATTATATCTATGGATATTCCAGATACCTATATTCTGTTCAATTTCGCAAGAGATTTGATGTACCTACCTAAACATAGAAATATTTTATATTGTTTCTATGTTTAGGTAAAACAACATAAAACATGTTTGACTCTTAATTACGCAAATAAAACTAGTATTCGCCTAAAACATTTATCTGTGATTAAAATTATTTTTCCATGTAGGTACCTACTTAATAATATATTGACTAATCTGTACATAAACCGCAATCTTATTCAATTATTAAGAAATAATTTTAATAATAGAATATGTATATTATAGGTGTGTCACTGGGTGAATTAAAGACCCTGTAAGTATAAAAGATTAAGTTTATTACAAATTAACATAATGTCGAATAATTACCCTACGAAAAAAACTAAACCTAAGTTTAGCCAATTAATATAATTTTTTTATACTAATATAGCCGTAGCAATAACATATTAAGTAAGTATAAGAGAAGGTATTTAATAAAACAAAATATGCAAAAAGTTTTTTATTAAACTCTAAAACAGTCTTCTCCTAAATATAATTACATTTATTACCTAGTCTGGTCATAAGTATGTCACACAGTAAAAACTTTTCTTTTAGAATGTTGGCCACAAAAAAGTTTATTAAATTCGAATTGTTCATGAAAATAAAACTGTATACTTTTTAGAATTTTACTCATTTTTAAATATGGAGTGGACGCTTAAAGAAGACCCTGTTGCAGTTATTGCGTTGCATCGTTGCGGTTACGCGCCAATTCAAATTTTTGACATACTGAAAAATTTGAATATAACCCATTGAGATATAATGTACTACGTACGTAGTACGTAGTACATTATTTCTCAATGATATAACCAAAAGATTCGTTTATCGTACCATCAAACGATACAATGAAGACTCTAGTGTAGATGATAGGTCAAGAAGTGGTCGCCCTCGGTCTGTTAGGACTCCAGCAGTGATAAAAGCTGTGAAGGCGCGAATTCAAAGAAATCCCAAACGTAAGCAGAAACTGTTGGCTCTTCAGATGGGGTTAAGCAGAACCACGGTGAATAGGGGGTTAAATGAAGACTTAGGGCTTCGGGCATATCGAAGAAAAACAAGACATCGTTTGAATGCTCGTCTAATGGACCTGAGACTGAAGAGATGCCGCGCTTTGTTGAAGCAGTACGCGGGAAAAAAATATCGGGAAATTCTTTTTTCGGATGAAAATATTTTTACCGTAGAAGAGAGCTACAACAAACAAAATGATAAGGTGTACGCACACAGTAGTGAAGAAGCGAGCAACCGTATTCCGCGTGTCCAACGAGGTCATTTTCCATCCTCGCTCATGGTATGGTTGGGAGTTTCTTATTGGGGCTTAACAGAGGTACATTTTTGTGAGAAAGATGTAAAAACGAATGCAGTTGTGTATCAAAATACAGTCCTGACGAACCTTGTGGAAGCTGTTTCTCATACCATGTTCAATAACAGGCACTGGGTATTCCAACAAGATTCGGCGCCAGCTCATAGACCGAAGAGCACACAAGACTGGCTGGCGGCGCGTGAAATCGACTTCATCCGGCACGAAGACTGGCCCTCCTCCAGTCTAGATTTGAATCCGTTAGATTACAAGATATGGCAACACTTGGAGGAAAAGGCGTTCTCAAAGCCTCATCCCAATTTGGAGTCACTCAAGACATCCTTGATTAAGGCAGCCGCCGATATTAACATGGACCTCGTTCGTGCTGCGATAGACGACTGGCCGCGCAGATTGAAGGCCTGTATTCAAAATCACGGAGGCCATTTTGAATAAACTTTAGTGTCATAAGAATCAATGTTTTGTTAAGTTCATTTTGGTATATAAATGGTTACATAATGAATAAACTTGTTTCAATTATTTTATATTAAACATGTGACAGAATTTATGACCTGACTAGGTACATGTCGTTTTTGAATTTTTTTCTCTTTTCTTCATTTTTTTATTAGTATCTTTAGATTAAATACGTAATTGAGTATTCAAGTAAGTATAATTTTAAATGCGACAAGAAGTTATAGTATAGACGAAGGTCGTTTAAATTTTAGAAGTAAAATCATACAATACAATCATGTTAATAAAGAAAATGAAAACAAACTTTTTTATCAGTTTCACATTTTTTTTCAAAATAAATACAAGAAATATTCCTGTAGCGGACAGCGAGGAAGGCCGCCGCCCCGTCGCCCCTTCACACCCCGGTGCACCCCGCGCACCCCGCACACCGGCAGCAGATCACGCGATGTCGCCGTCCAATCAGCGTGCGGCATCGCCTTACGACGCTACTCACGAACCGAGACGCTCTCTTGCGGGATATAAGAAGGGCGTTTTGGTCTGTGAGCTGTTCATTTCACTTCGGAAGCGGCACTAGAAGAAGCAGCAAGAGAAATCAAGAAGAAATCAAGACTCCAGAGAAATCCAGAAGACTCCCCTCTGTACATAGTATATTTTATAGTGCCACATTTGTAAATAATTGAATAAAGTATAGTTTCTTAGTACCATCTTTTCTTTGAGCAGTCCCCTAGCGTAGTCAGTTCATACAGTCCACTTGCATAGTAAATTAATACAGTCCACTTCGATCCCTAACAATACCATTATTCAGACTTTTTATGAGTACGGTAGCCTTATTGTAGGTTGTAGCGCTTCTACACATTAAATATTTTTTATTTGCAAATATCAATCAATGGCAGTGTGGCACCTATAAAAATCAATTTTATGGTTTGTTTACATTACACATAATATATTATATAAGGTCGATGGAGGCTATTGCAACTAAAAAAATATATTTTGAAACTTGAACCTTCACCAAAAATGACTACTTGACTTTATGGGGTAATCTATCATATCCATATAATTAAGCATGTATCTGAGATTATTTTCGACCTAATATAATGTCAAAAAGCTGTAGGATTTTGTTAAAATCTTATTAAAAGTTCCATGCAGACAGGAAAAGTTATATTAGTCCCATGTTGGGGTAAATGCGACTATCTAAACTAACTCATTGGTTTATGTAGCATATTTGCTCACAATCGAAGCACATGTCACCCAGTGTGAAATTTACGCAGGCATATTCTCTGAGTTGAACCAGTGGAGTCCCGATCAAACTAAAAGTATGATTCGTAATGTTTGGGGCTAATGTGACTATTTTCTATAGAAATAGTGTTTTGTTGACGTAAAAAATATCGATAAATTGTTAAAGGTGTAGGCAATCGATACTAATAGGTACCTAAGTAATATAAAACCATGCTTCGTTTTTACTTTTTATTCCCT